GACCACCCGGCACTTCAAAGCTTCACCGAGTGGCGGAAAGCCACCTATTGGAGGAAAGCAGAAGTTCAAGTGCGCGGATTGCGCCGCACCGATCTCGGCGCACAGTTCCGGTTGAAGTGAAGCCGATATCGTTTGACCGGGGCCTTTGGATTTTTGGGGGCTCCGTAGCGTTCAGTGTGATCAAGGTGGTAGGCCTGTCTCTACTCTACTACGTGGTGCCGTCTCTGGTGGAGCAGTGGGGCCCAGTTTTCGGCTGAGAGAAGGCCGCGGTATTGGGACAGGTGGCGCTGCCGTCAACGCATGGGTCTCTCCGCCGTCTGATGTGCTTGGATGGCCCAATGACAAAGGCTGGGCGCCGGCTATGTAGGACGGTGAAACTCAAACCTCTACCACGCTTGCCATGCAACAGTAAGACAGCGATGCTATTTACGGCGGACGGTATCATACTTGAAGACTAACGCATATCGCAATTCGCGACCAGTGTGAAAACGGCGTAAATCAAAGAATAGTGTCCAATCGACTAACCCTACAATCAAAAACGCTGGGCTAGTCCATCGTCTCATTCCCCTTTTCATCCCGCTATGCAAGATGATACATCACTGGCATCATGTTTATTTCATTACATCTCTGAGTGTAACGATCCAGCGACCAAATTTTGACCAGCTTTTTACTTTAATTTTGATTTGCTTTGCAGCTCTTGTCCGCGAGAGCGCGATGGGGAGCCCTGTTAAGACTTAGGACGCGGGGTTAATCAGGACAACTGTAGTGCGTAGCCCCACCGCCTACCGCAAAAAAAGCCCAAGGAAACGGAAGGAGAAGTGAGGAAGCCACCACAGCCAATGGAGTCACTTGCTGCTCCAATGGCACACACGTTTGTATGCGTAGCATTATGGTAAATTTGCTTTCAGAACAAGATAACGCATTTCCCCAAGAGCAACAATGACGGTCCAGGTGGCGCTTGGTGTTGGTAGCGGATGTGAGACAGTGGCGCGGTGGGACGCGAATGAGCTTTTTGAGTGGAGATCACGAACACCTGACAGCTCTATCTCCCGGATTGGGCTCCTGGACTGCGGCTTCCCGACTGCCTGCGGCTCCTGGACAGCGGCGCCTGGACTGCGACTCCTGGACTGTGGCTCCTGGACTGCGCCTTCCGGACCGCCCGCGGCTGCTGGACTGCGGCTCCCGGGTTGCGGCTCCCGGGCTGCGGCTCCTGAACTGCGGCTTCTAGACTGCGGCCCCTGGACTGCCCGCGGCTCCCGGGCTGCGGCTCCTGGACTGCCCGCGGCTCCTAGACTGTGGATCATAGGCTGCGGCTCCTGGACTTCATGCGGCTCCTGGACTGTGGCTCATGGACCACGTCTCACGGACCGCCTGCGGATGCTGGACTGCAGCTCACTGAGCCCTGCGGCATCATGTGCTATTGCACTGTTGGTTTGCGTCGTGCCGCCTGACAGCTATACCTCGCATAAATATACCTTAGAAGAATAAACGCCTGTCTCTGATCAAATAAGAAACGCTGTGTCGTATTTTGGTGCACATTTCAACTTATTCAACGCAGACGCGCATTACTTACCTAAGATCAATATTTTATTCGATTTAAGCAGAGAAATGCAGCGACGTGGGTGGTGCCTAGGTTTATTGGTTGCATATAGAGGTTGATCGATATTTAATTTGAAAATTTTGAACAACCTGTATTTGAACACTTTTTGGACGAACAGCTGGACGATACTTGGACTTTGGATTGGACTTTGGACAATAAGCATCTGAAAAGCGCACTTTTTCAAATACGTCTGCGCAAGAATTAACACGAGCCCGGGTGGCCGGCTGGATACCCTTCGCTCGGATGGGGGGTCAGTTTGACCCCCGTGAGATCTCGGGAACTAAGGGAGCCAGAGACACCAAATTTACAGGGTGTATTGACATGTACGTAAACTCACTAGGCCAAAGTTTCAGTATTCTAGGTCATGACCTTCGGGTTAAATGAGGTAAAACAAGGTCAAATTCCAGGTTGGTCTCCAAAATGCCTCAGAACCTAGATAACCGTTTCTAAGAAAAAGTTCACATGCTAATTTAAGATCAGCGACCTTGTTTGACCCTTTGAAGGTCATGGTGAACAAAACCATACTAGCTGCTCTGAGTTTTGCATTTAAATAAGCGACAAAGATTACGCTAGGCAGTAGGTTCCGACAAACAAAATGTTGACCTGGGTCATTTCATGTCAATGACCTATTCTGACCTCCAAGAAGTCCATGAAAGATATATAATGCGGTTCCTGCTATCGATAAATTCGAAATGAGCACCAGAAACTGCCCCATACTGTAGGCACTAGAGTAATAAAACAGGTTGGTTTTGACCTTGGTCTGACCTTTATACCTGACCTTAAGCCAATGTATTTTGCTCATTCAACTGTTGCGTTGTTTAAGAAAGCATCTCAGAGGTGTATGGCTTCGTGTAACCCTCATTTGTTGCATCAGATTGAATTATTTCCTAGAAATTGACTTCCCTGATACCATGGCATGACTTTGACCTCCATAGGCCAGCGACATTGCAAGGTACATTTAAATTTTTGATGCCAAACTATCCGTTATTTAATTGTCTACAGCTATGCACAATTTGGCGGGGCTATGCCGCGCCGTTCGGAAACCGTTCCGGAAAAACCTTCGGGGGCCAATATGACCTCCACCCGAGCGCGTGTTAAATCATAACACAATTATCCATGCGCAGGTCTCCGAACAGTTAAAAAACTTTGGGCGGCTTTTCGCTGAACCTTTCCTTGTTACGTGCCAGACGCGTACCCCATCGCATTGGCGGCGCCATCGGGGGAGGGGGGGGGGGGGGGAGGACGGGACGCGTTGCCCTCTATCGTTGAATAGCGGGAACGGTCCCCCCCCCTTCATATCCTATCTTCCTGCCGGATATAATGATTTGTCATATACATTTTCACTAACGGATGTTATCCCCATTTTCGCTTTGATATGTATTTTCCATATACCCAGTTTTTACCGCAATGAATTTACCACACATCGGTAGAATTACATTGCTATACGGCTAGTATCTTACTAATACGGCTCCAAAAGACCCTTCGGCGGTTTTCTGCCTATACTGGCCGAGCACATTCGATGCCTTCCGTGCCTGAAGCTCAAAGTCGGACTAGGAAATGATTGGATCCTGACGTGCCTGCAGCAGATAAATATTAGACATTTCAAAAAGGAAAAGTTAACAGCAGTTTTAATCAAAGCGCACGCGCTACCATGCATTATCTTTAATTACCCCGGTACGACTGCTAATTTCGGACGCTCTCCGTCAATGACTTGACGTCAATGACAATCATTCGCTTTCATCACTTCTAACGTTTTGTTTTTGTAGAAGCTTTGTAACGTAAATAGATACAGTCCTACAACTTTGTGAATGTTTTGTGTTCATTACGCACATCAAACATTTTGTAAATAGGTGCCCTGCTTAATGACAGCAAGATATGATATTTTCTTTATCCACTACACTATTCCAGGAATGACATCTCGTAACATTATGATAAGCTTTGCTATTACCAACATATTTTGATGCAGCATTATGACATCTGTGAACACTGCTCATTTCAACAGCTTTAATGTGATAAACCTTTAATTTGAAATGTAGACTGTTGTATCGTAGCCTCGACATCGTGGTTGTAGTTCATGGGCGCACCGCGAGTGGCGCCACTGTCGGGCGCTGGGAGGCAGTCGGCCCGGAGCCGCCATGCTGATTGTTTGGTTGCACACAATTTGTAAATGGAACTCGCTTTAACATCAATAAACAGTTGGGAGACACAACATCTTGGCGACGAGCAAAGAGATTTTAAAGTAGGGACAGGTGCAAGTGACGCGCGGACCGGCAGGACGTGTGGAACTGCGAGGACTGGCAGGGCACGTGGAGCTGAGGACCGGCAGGACGTGTGGGACTGCGAGGACTGGCAGGGCGCGTGGAGCTGAGGACTGGCAGGACGTGTGGACTGCGAGGACTGGCAGGGCACGTGGAGCTGAGGACGGCAGGGCACGTGGAGCTGAGGACTGGCAGGGCACGTGGAGCTGAGGACTGGCAGGGCACGTGGAGCTGAGGACTGGCAGGGCACGTGGAGCTGAGGACTGGCAGGGCACGTGGAGCTAGGACTGGCAGGGCACGTGGAGCTGAGGACTGGCGGGGCACGTGGAGCTGAGGACTGGCGGGGCACGTGGAGCCGAGGACTGGCAGGACGTGTGGAACTGCGAGGACTGGCAGAGCGCGTGGAGCCGAGGGCAGCAGTGTTGGAAAACGCAGGTGATCAATCGGCGGGCTTCGGGAGTTTTCTGACTCGGCCGACGGGACAGGGCAGTGTCGTGTCATCCATTTATTGTCAGTGTGTCAGGGGCAGGACAGTGACGGGGTCGATAGCCCTGGGACAGGCTCAGGGGCATCAGTTGCCACAAAGACCCCAGAACGCACGTGGTTTTGCCGTCGCGGCGTGCCGCCATTTTGGGCGTTAGTTCAGCGGGGGCCCGGCAGAGGCGCTGCGTCGTCGGGTCAACGACTTCCGGAAGCGCAGTTCGGCAGCTCGCCGACAGAGGCGCTGTGATAGCCAGCGGTGGCGTGACTCGCGAGTCATCACGGCATCAGCTGATCGGCCAGAGAGGAGTCTGCTGGGCGGCCGGGCGCGAGCCAGCTGATCGGAGCGTGGGAAACGACGGAGCGCCGTGCGCGAGACAGAACAGCTGATCGGACCGTGGGAAAACAGCTGAGATCAGTGCGCCGGATCGAACAGCTGATCGGGACGTGGTAGAGCTGAAGGGATGACGCTGCCGGGAATGCATCTGCCCACGGTGGCACCCTGTCATACAGGGGAGGACTTTGAAAGGTGGGTGAGAAGCATGGAGCGGTATTTGGTGGCCGTGAACATAACTGATACCAATCAGAGGTGTGCAGTGCTTCTCCATCTGGTTGGGCCCAACGTCGCAGATCTCAGCGAGACGCTGCCGGACGAAGACGCGATGGGAGATAACTTTGAAAAACTTAAGAAGAAGCTCACGGCGTACCTGTCGCCGGCCAAAAGCGCCGTGACTGAGCGGGCTGCATACCACCAAATGAAGGTGCAAGGGGGTGAGGAATTCGAACAGTTCCTCGAGCGACTCCGGATTCAAGCACAGAAATGCGGCTATACAGCGGCTGAGATGGACAGGGAACTCCGGGACCGGTGTGTCGTCAGAAGCAGCCCCGGGCTGAGAGAAAAGCTACTGCAGGAGGCGGCGACCAAAGGAGACGGGCTGACGCTCGCCAACGTCCGGCAGACAGCGCGGGCGTACCGAGACATGCGTCAGCTGAGCGCCCATCTGAGAGAGAGTCAGCCGGCAGTCACAGGAGTCGACTGTTAGGGGACGGCCGTGAACGCAGTGCGGCCTGACCGGCCACAACGGCCACAGCGAGGCCAGTGTTTCCGATGCGGATCCAGACAGCATTGGAAGAGAGACTGCCCGGTCAGGGTGCAGGAGCGTGGCGCTGCCGACCGGCCATCGTCCGGGGATAATGGACGGCGTGAGGAGCGGCGGCAGCAGGGACAGACCCGCCGTCCCCCGCCCGTCCGACGCTGTTTCCGGTGTGGGTCGGACGCCCACCTACCGCGCAGCTGTCCACAGCGCCGCACAGTGGACCATGTGACTGAGACTGAAGGAGGTGTGTCACAGCGCCTCGAGGACATTCGCCTACAAATCGACATCCCGAGTGAGAGGGATGGCCTGCCACTCATCACAGTGAGGATCAACGGTCAGGACATCACGATGATGATCGACATCGGCTCGCCGGTGACAATCGTCGGCAGAGATGTCCAGATCCCGGGACTGCGCATGCGGGCATCGGAGCTACGTCTGCAGTCCTACACCGGTCAGACGGTGCCCCTCCGCGGAGAGGCAACGGTGGAGGTGGAACACGCAGGCCAGGCCCGGTCACTGCGACTGGTGATATGTGACCGACAGGGGAGCGTGCCGCTGCTGGGACGAGACTGGCTGCGCCAGCTCCGACTGAACTGGCGAGCGGTTAGCATGGTCGGTCGGCGGGGGGACGCTGACGGGAGAACCACGCCCGGAGTCGGGCGCGAAGACGACGCTGGAGTCGGTCGTCAAGGCGCACGAGACAGTGTTCACCGACGGACTGGGGAAGATGTCGATGAAGGCCCATCTCACGCTGAAGCCTGACGCGCGTCCGGTGTACAGGAAGGCCAGGCCTGTGCCGCACGCCCTCACGGCTCTAATTGACAAGGAATTAGAGCGCTGGATCACGGAGGGAGTCGCAGAGAAGGTTGACCCAGAACAGAGACTGTCAGGCTGGGGGACCCCGCTGGTTCCAGTGCTGAAGCCCAACGGTCAGGTCAGGTTGTGCGCAAACTACAGCCTGACAGTGAATCCACAGCTCCGGGTGGATCCGTACCCACTGCCTGCGCCGGAGGACCTATTCGCGAACATACGAGGTCGAGTGTTCGCAAAGCTGGACATCCGGCGGGCATACGAGCACATGGAGCTGGACGAGACGTCACGGGACCTCACCACGGTGACGACGCACCGCGGCTCGTTCCGGATGATCCGTATGCCGTATGGCATCGCCAGCTGCGGCTTCCTGTTCCAGCAGGCAATGGACAAGGTGCTGGAGGGACTGCCGGGCTGCGTGTGCTACATTGATGACGTTCTCATCGCAGCGGAAGACGAGGCAGAGCTGTTGACACGGCTGGACCGGGTCCTGACTCGGCTGGAGCGTCACGGCCTCCGGCTAGAACGCTCAAAATGTACTCTCGGGGCGAGCGAGGTGTCTTGCGTGGGATGGCGGATCACTGCGGACAGTCTATCGCGGATGGCGCTGCCGTGCAGCGGAAACGAGCGGGCAGAGGCGGACAGAGAGGTGACGGGAGTCCACTTATTGTTCATGGACGGCGCGGGAGCGCCGCTGACAGCCCGCGAGATCGAAAACGCCACCCTGCGCGACCCGCTGCTGGCGAAGATGCTTATGTATATAGGACACGGATGGCTGACAGAAACGGAGCCGGAGTTTGCGCCGTTCCGACACCGGGAGGCGGAGCTGTCCACAGACCACGGCGTGGTACTGTGGGGAGGCAGAGCGGTAATACCCCAGAGGCTGCGGTCGCGAGTACTGCAGGAGCTGCACACCGGACACCTCGGCAGCGCCAATATGAAAGGAGTGGCGCGCCGGTACGTGTGGTGGCCGGGGATGGACACAGAACTGGAGGCACTGGCGCGGGATTGTACCGCATGTGTAGAAAAGCGAGGAGCCCCGCCACGGGGCGCGCTGCACACCTGGGAGCCGGCTGGCGGCCCGTGGGAGCGAATCCATGTGGATTTTGCCGGGCCGTTTCAGGGCTCCAGCTTCCTCGTGGTACATGACAGTTTCAGCAAATGGCTGGAGGTGTGTCCGATGGGAGACACGGCCACAGCTAGCACGGTCCGGGAGCTGCGAGCCATGTTCGCTCGTTTCGGTATACCACGGCAGCTTGTCTCCGACGACGGACCTCAGTTCACAGCGTCACAGTTCGCAGAATTCTTGAGTGGGAACGGTGTACGACACGTCAGAGTAGCACCATGCCACCCGAGCAGCAATGGGGCTGCCGAACGAGCGGTCCAGACCGTTAAGAACGGCCTGAAGGCGGCGCCACAGGGACGGGGGCTCGCTGTCTCGCCAGCTGTGCACGTTTCTGATGGCATACCGCGCGGCGCCACACTCGACGACAGGCCGGACGCCGGCGGAAGTGATGTTCGGGCGTCCGATGCGCACCAGGCTCGACCTCGTGCACCCAAGCATCACACGAGATGTACAAGAGAAACAGCAAGACCAGAGGGAGGCGGCGGGAGGAAGGTCGCGCCAGTTCAGGGTAGGCCAGACCGCGTGGGCGCGGACATATGGCGGCCCCCGACGGTGGCGGCACGGCGAAGTGGTAGGCATCACGGGCCTCGTCTCGTATCAAGTAGACGTCGGCGAGGCCGTCTGGGCCCGCCATGCGGACCAGCTCCTGCCAGCAGCAAGACGGGAAGAGCAGCAGCCGACCGAGGCAGCTCCGCTGGAGCCGTCGCAGCAGCATCCGACCGACCCTGCTCCCGGCCGGCAGCAGCATCAGATCCCGGAGGCTCACAGCTCTCTCGGGGAGAGAGAAGAGGAGGAGGAAGAGCGACCGACACCGGCCAGGGAGGAGGCAGATGGTCACGACCAGACCACCACGGAGCCGGAATCAGCTCAACAGAACCGAGCTCCTGACGGGCCGGACGCCGAGTACCAGCAGACGGGGCAGCCGCGCGCCGTCAGCGCGCCGCCCTTGCGGACGGGGCAGGCGCACACGGCCAGCGCGCCGCGTCACGAGACGCAGCCGCGCCGATCAGCGCGCACCATCCGACCTCCGCTGCGTTTCAGGCTGTAGGGAAGCTCCAGTATGGGGGCGGAGGGCGTTGTATCGTAGCCTCGACATTGTGGTTGTAGTTTATGGGCGCACTGCGAGTGGCGCCACTGTCGGGCGTTGGGAGGCAGTCGGTCCGGGGCTGCCATGCTGCGTGTTTGCTTGTTCACACCTTGTAAGTGGAACTCACGTTAACATCCATAAATAGTTGGGAGCAACATAGACAAGGTCTTAGTTGAGCTCGGCTGGAGGACGTGCCCGGGGTGCCCGTCGTACCTGCCGGGGTGAAAGACAGGCGAAGCCATCCTAGCGGGCATTTTATCGTAGCCCCGACCCTATCAGGCCCTAGACGTGTAGATTGGGTGAACAGTAACGGGATGGCCAGCACGGCCCCAGATGGCCCTCGCGGCATGTTTCTGATGAACCGCGACCTGGCCATAGCCGGGCTGTCTGCCCGCGGTCTAGCCGAGCACCAAGTGGGCACATGTTGAGCAAATATCAGGGCATCGGTGAAGCCTGGGAAGACACTGGGCTCCACCTGGGTCATGCCTGGGATGTCTGTGTGGCTTTGGCAAGCGTCAGGCTTCAGCTGGGCCTCTGCCTGGCCCTATCTGGTAGGGGCGCTGCTTACCAGCTGGGCACAAGTCCGTGCCAGGGACAGGCCCAGAAAGAAACCTGCGCAGCAGAGCAGGGTACATGATGGACCCGACAATGGTGCAAGCTGGGCTCTGACGCGACGCCAGCTTGGTTCTGACAGGGCGCCAACTGGGCCCTGGCCCAGCGAATCTATGGCTCGAAGCCTGACTGGACCGACGTCGCCAGCGGTATCCCTCAAGGACTGGTGCTGGGACCAAACCTGCTCAATGTTTTCGTCAACGATTCATCAGAAGTGCAAAGCGCGGCCAATATATTCGCGGATGATTCTGAGCTACACTGTTGTGTACCGAGGCTCCGGCCGCTTTTCCTCCCCAGACTGACCTCAATGACCTGGTCAAATGGTGGAAGGAGTACGATTGCTCCTATTGAACGTATCTATGTGTAAATTAATGCACATCAGCACCCACAAGCCGCGAATGACCTACTTCCTGAACGGCACAGAAATCGCAGTCGTGCCCACTGAAAAATACCGGAGAATTTTCGTGGAGGCTCATGCGGGCTCATGTTCCCCGTGCAGACGGCGGAGGTGGTTTCTAAGGTCAACCAGATGCTGGCAGTCGCAGGATTGCCATCCGCCAACAATGACGTTTTCAAACGGCCACTGTATCAGGAACATGGTATGCCCGTCTGGCGCAACAATTCGAGGGTGTAACATCATCTCCTGGGGTCCGTACGGCAAGCTGGATCAGGAGCGGCTGGAGTGGGTCCAATGACGAGCTACGCGTCTCATCCGAGAAGTAAGGCACCGACCCTATCCGAAGAGGCTTGGACTCTCACCCAGACTCTCTCACACCCAAACATCAGAGTCTGTGATCTCAAACCAATACTTGAAAAACTCAAAATGTGCGAACTCATCGCACGAGGGCGCGTGACCGTCCCCACGTATCTACCTGCGCTGTTGCCAATACGGCTGTCCGCTTTCTCCTCCGGCCTCGATGTTCGTCACTCTCCGTCATTGTGATAGCCCGCCCCGCGTCGCTGGGATACTGTGCCGCCCCGACCTTCATAGGCATCCATAAACTTTTTGCAAGCTGAAAATTTTAAGTTTTCCATTTTATTTGAATTTCGAGGTGATATGGTGCCTCAATGCAGTGTTGCTTGAAAAATTTGCTTGAATAAGTTTTGCTTAATTGAGTCTGCGGACACAAATGACAAAGCATTTATACCGCACAGCATTTAAAAATTGTGTCTATGGCTGCTGAAACACTTATCAAGCTGCAATCACGTGTTGAAAATATTAGCTTCTAGAATAAATTATAAACAGCAGCGATGTGTTTTGTCGACATCATTGTGGCATGACTAAATTGACAACCGGAAATGTGCAACATCCTGAACACGAAACGTCGACACGTTTAACACTCACCGAAAGATAGGATTGATGTCATTCCCATCACCAAACCCGCACCTGTTTTCGGTGGGCCGGCGATAAATGACATCGATACGATCATCGGGATTACTGAGCTCATCTGATGGTCCCTTCATTGCGCGTTTTCTCAACAACATTGGAGTGCAGTGTATGTGGCTCTGAGCTGGGACTTGACTTGAACAAGAAACATTCACGAGCTGTTCTGCTGTAGAAAGTCAATCTTCGATAAGCCAGGAGGTGCTGTTCAAGTCACGTTAACGACCAAGCATATGTTGTTGAGAAACTCGACATTTGCCTGATAACGTCATTCGAGCAACTTCCTTTGGCATGTTGATTGCCGGTGACTTACGGCGCAAATATTTCTACCACTATGCTACTGTTATACGACATGCAGTTAGCAGCTATTATGCATGATATTGTTAGTTGCAGGGACCTGCTATCCGCGTCGAACGTCCTCGCCCACTGTACTGCTAAACCCCGACGAAGGGCGCCAGACACGCAGACACGGGCAACCGCGGCCTGCAACTCTTTAAATTTCAGTGCTGGCCAAGCCGATTTTAAGGTGAATTGGTTTTTAATTCACTAATTTCCGAGGGTATGCCCGGCTCTACGTGTGCCCGTCTGTGCGCATTTCTCTGGCCGGACCTACAACACAGACATCTGCACAGAATACCGTGAGATTGGCACTTCCGACGGGTCAAACCCTCGTGATCATCCACAACATAAATTCACGCCCATCAAATGCCGGTATCTGCTATAACGCGTGCGTGAGGCGGCATGTTCTGGCGGGGCCCTTCGGCAGGATTTGGAGGCAGAGCCCAATGCACGCGATTTGATGGCACTCCAACGCTGGGACTCCGGGTTTGGGCTGGGATCAAGGCTGTGTACAAAGGTCAAAGTTCAAATCCGTGCTGCCCGTGAGATCTGAGCCTGGTTGTTAAATGATGACCTTGATTTGCACGTGCAACACTGATGGTTGATTTGTGTGATATTCCTAAAGGTACTGAATGTTGGTAAGCAGTTTGTGTTGGTCTTATAATTTGAATTTCTACACCGTTGACTTTTATGGCACAGTTGGCAGTGTGTCGCCGAGTATATAGAAGCTCCCTATCGACTGCGACGAAATGAGTTATTCAGCATTGGCGGAAAAGCGAAAGCCTCCAGGAACTCACTACACGAGACTTGCTTGTTGGTGACCGTAACCAGTTGGTTCTGAACGCTCGGAAATGTATGAAAATTTCTTGTTTAAAAGTCTTACAGGCTTCTATTCCCAGTAACTCTGGTCAGACACCACATACAATTACGATGCACAATCACCACCAATGCACACTTACCTTTTAAAAGCTCTGGAGCTTGCCTTGAGTTTGTCAGTTACACGCCAACACTATAATTTCACGTCGTAGGGCCTATAGCATTCTATGAACATTCCGTTGCACTGCCAATCAAAGCACATAAAAAGCAAGTCAAGAGTACAGCGTAAGCGTCGTAGATGAGCGTGTGCGACGACCAGGTGCATCCGACCTTTATGTGCTTACTTTTACTTACTTTTATGCCTGGTAGTGACTGCAATACCACACCCTTCCAGGAAGCACTCAAATAATGTCGTAGAACCTAACAGTTCAGGGAGAAGAAGGCACACCTTCGTTCCTGCAGGAATCGCATGCAGCCCCAGGCAACCAACTAAGCCCAACGCGGCAAAATTTGAAGAGAGGGTGAGGGAAGACGCTACGGCCCGATTCCGATCCTACGCCTCTGAATGCGCGTACGGCTAATAATATCAGGATTCAAATGTTGAGGCGATACTGTATTCTAAAAGTTTTCAGTGGCTCCATATAGGCGACTCGACGGATACTTTGTCAATTATACCGATCCGTCTCGTACAATGTGAATTCCAGGAAAGACATCATCCTGCTTCACTTTGAAGATGAAATAGTGGGTCATATCGTGTTGGCAGTGTTTGATAAATGTTCAGAGTTTGTATAGGCTTCCGTACATTTGTGGCGCGCGGAAAGTTTGGGGCAATATTTTTGGCCACTACCCGTACACACCCACTGAACTCTGGGCTTTTTCGTTGCCATTGGGACTTAACGACGCACTCAGCCGCTGAGGCCATATGGCGTTGCCCGCCTCTCACCCTGACGGGAAAGACGGATGACGCGGAAAATCGCACTCCGCAGCTCTGGTTTTCCAGACACATGGCCAAACCAATACGATCCCGTGACCCTTTCGGACTTTCTTATTGTTTTCGAATGTACCCGACATTTTATTCGCCCTGTGTTTTGACATTCTGCTCGTTGGACGCAAAGCCGACTGTTTCAGCGGAGCTCGCGTCAAACGACGTCACACAGCTGCGTGTCAGCAGCCGTGTGACGTCGTGTGACGTGTGAGTCACCGCCGTGTGAGTCACCGCCGTGTGAGGAAGGCCTGGCCGGACCCGCCGCTTCGGGCCACCCTCCGCCGACCTGCAGGCGCCGTCGCCGCCACCCGCTCGCGTCACGTGACGCCGCGGCGCCGCCGGCCGGGCGTCACGTGACCGACGTCGGCCGGCTCTGAAGGAGGCTGTTCTGGCCAGTGAAGAGGGGTCGCCGACTGCGGGAGGACATGGCCAGTCGCGCACTGCTGCTGCTCGCCCTGGTGGCGGCTGCCGGCGCGCAGGACTCAGGTGAGTGCAGGCCCTGGACTCTCAGCAGGTGACCCCAGGGCGGTGTGGTCCCGGCTGCCTCAAACGCGCCAGGTCGATTTGATTATGCTGTGGCTGTACGCACGGGACCCAGGTTAGTAAGATCCTGTGCCCGGTATGACCATGCAGAGACTCGTACAAACGTTGTCAATGAGACTGAAAGCTGTGGACGACAAGACGGCTACTAAGAAATCCAAATTGATACTTTCCACGCAGTACACAGGTATTGGGATTGGTAACATTTCTAAAGCAAATGCAGTCTGAGAACCGACATCGGATAAGCTTGTTTGCTATGTAGCTAGTTTGCTGCCTACGCCGGTGACGTAGAAAGTATCACCTAGTAGTGGGAGCAGTAGTAGCAATAGTAGTAATGCTATCGCCCGATGATGTCGGTCAGTCGCCACCGACAACTACTGCTGAGCAGACCTTTAAGGGTTTGTTCCACATTTGCGTGGGGTTTTGAACTAAAATAGCCATCTTGAAGATCGTTTGGGAAAGTTCACAGCTTTGCCCTGATTGAGACTTAAACCCCTTCAGTTTCTGAGGTACACGCCCGCGAAAACGAAGACTATTTCTGGAAGTTTTTCAAGGTTACCTTGACATTTATGATGTCCTAATAACGTCATCAAAAATCCCGTCATTCCATGAGCCATAAGCCATGATCAAATCTGATCAACTCCGAGAAAACTATAATGGTAGAGCCGTTCATATCTGGGGTTCGTAAGTATGATTTTGAAATTTAACTGTTGTGAATCGACTTCCAATCAATGCTGTGCAAGGTACGATGACGTAATCTAAGAAAGACATATCGAGGAGCATATTCACTCAACAGAGAAGTTGTGTTGCCTAGAGCAGTCTTTTCCACTTGAAAATATACGAACAGTTGTGCGTGAACTTGTTTCACCATATCTGATGCTTGCCTTAATATCTTTAAATGTGAAAAATACCAGGGTACTGAAGTAGGCATGCAATGCCATTTCAAACCCTAACACTGTCACCGAGCCGACACCAATTTAGATTCGTAACTGAACCTGGAGACGGTAGTGCTGGACGGGCATCGGCACCGATACGAGCTTTCAAAGCATTCAACTCAGTCAACCCATCTCAGCTCAACGCACCGGCCCAATACCACTGGTGTTGATTTTGAAAGGATATAGTCCGCGACCCTTTTGAGGGGCGGAAGTCCTGAGATGCGGGCCACGCTGAGGAGTTGTTGCTGTTTTAATAGCAGCAACTCCACCCCGACCCCATCATCCAATCGTGAAATTCCAGGTCGATGGCGGAAAATTGTGGCGAGACTTAAACGTGCCGCAGTGCTCGTCACGGCCCGTACTGCTCGGGACGTTACCTGACCTTTAGCGTGGCCGCTGCCACCGGCCGCGAGCTTCAGGGGCAAAGGGCGGACACATACAGAGTTTGGAACCCGCCACGCCAGGGGCGGGTGAATGGGCAAACAGTCGTTTTAGCCAAGCGAGTCATCGGGACGGACATGTTCATCCTTTGCTCAGAGTTGATAAGTGAAAAAGGTGCACGATAACGTTGAGTATGCGCGCTCGCAGTCTTCAGAAGACTGCACCAGCGACATGCGGCATCGCAGTCTCCTCCAGCCACGCAGCATTGGCCCCGCAGCTAATAAGGTAATGCAGTGACAAGCAGCCTCGCTACGCGGTTGCTCAAAATCACCGGTCGGTTAGCGCGGGCTACCGGCACGAACGTCGTACCATTGTCTGGCATCTGGGTGGATGGAGCCAACTTTTTGTATTGAGTGATGCGTGACCGACAGACGACACCAAGGAGGATGTACTGCGTCCGGTGGTGTCGGCGCCACTCTGTGACGCAGACTGGAGTGGCCGATTACTGGAGCCAACGGTCATCAACTGAAAACGCCAAGGTCAGGGGACACCGCAGGCATTCGTAATTGTCCATGACCGGCCGCGCGACCGGCCCGGGCCGGGCCCGCGGTTCGTGACCCCTGCGTCGGGTCGGGTCTACCGACTGGTGACCTCAGAGTCGGCCGGTTCGCCACCTGACCTCCGGGACTTCCGAGTCCGCTCAGGCGGACCGGGACCTACGAGTGGGCTCGACTGGACTAGTGACCTCTGAGTCGGCCGTCACCTGACGAGTGACCTCTCTGCGCCCTCGGCGCCGGGGCGCCGGGGCGCGGCCGGCCATTGTGCCCGGCCGGCAGCAGCTGGAGCGTGACGCCAGCCGAGCCCGTGACGGCCTGACGGGCCCGCACCGGCGCCGGCCGAGCATCGGTCGGCGCCGTGAGAACCTGTGCCGCGGCCAGGAATGTCCGACAAGGCCAGAGGAAGCGCCGGCAGAGGGCGGCGCCGATTACCGGGAGAGCAACGACCGGCCGAAGACGGCTGCCGTCCGCGCGAAGAGGGGTCTTTCAGCCGGTGTCCAGTCGCACAACCTCACCGCGCGTAACGCGCGCGCAGCGCAGACCCATGTCGGCGCGCTACTGCATGCTGGTGGTCATGTTTGGGAGTTGGCGGGCGTACGCAGGTCCTGCGCGGTGCGGTGTGAATGGCGTGACGCCGGCCTCATGCGATGCAGGGCGCAAACGCGCTGAGCAAGCACGCTTTCAGGGGTCTGCGACCAGCTCGGGGTAAGCTGGGGGCCTGACGGGGCCACCGGAGTTCGCTGGCCCCCTGGCGCCGCCCTGCTCGTCCCTGCGTGCCTGCCGTTTTTGTGCGTGGGCCCACGTGGAGCCAAGTGGGTTCATAAATCGACGGCCACGCGGGTCAATGGTTTGTGTGCAGTGGCGGGCTGGAATGTGCGCCGCCTTCGGGCGGCCTTGTGGAGCGCAGTCTGAGGCGCCCGGAGCCTGCACACACACCGAAGCGGCCGCGCAGGTGGCCTCATCGCGTGGGTGTGGGTCCTCAACGGATGATTGGACGGAATCATTCAGTGGAACTGGATGAACTCTGTTTCAGTGATGATTCGCACAACTTCCACGAGCGTCATCGCAGTTGATCTGCCGCGGGTGAGATTCGGAGGCGTGAGATCAACTACAGGATGCACGGAGTACGGCGTGCTAGCGGGGCTCCAATTCCTCTTAAAGCGCGTGGGCTGAGGTCCGTATGATCTTCTGCCGACACCCTCCGGTGACCGGTGTCCGGTGAGAAATGGATCCCGTTTCCGCTCTCAGTGAGAACAGTCGAGCCGGCCGTCTACAGTCACCCACGGTGAGATGTGTACTAGTCACGTTGCACACATATCGGGTTCGTCTGCAACGCCAGTCGGCCCCCCACACTTCCGCCTCGTGTCAGCGAGGTACGCCTTGCGTGCGGGAATAAGCACGCTCACGTCGAGTGATATTCTGGCCGTTGGCGTAAGCTTAGGCGGCTCCACTCAGTCCATCCATTTCCGTACACTAAAGGGTTTACTTTAATTGTCTGTCTCAGTGGATGGCATTCTTTCCCCGCGTCAGGTCCGTCGCCGGCCGCTCATCACCAACTGCCGACCATCCCCTCTGGGCCAGCTGGGGCTGGCTACTGATGGTGCCTCGCTATATGTGTCGGCCGGTTATGCACTCATCATCGAGTCGGTGTCTGGCTCACATTCGGCTGCAAAAGGTGTTCTGTAAGGACTGAAGTGGAGGGCCCACATATGTAGTGTCGCGTGCAATAAGAGATAATATATTATAATGGACAATGTAAACAGCAGAACATTTTTTAGCTGCCGTCACGCGCAGGAACATAACACCAAGCGACGCCGTGATACGGGCCGGGCGTCAGGCGTCGTTGGCTTCTCTACACCAGATTGGAGACCAGCCCCGCGCCGTCCCGCAGCGGCAGCGCACGGCGCCCGCCTGGGGCCGCGTGCCGGGCGGAGCGCACCTGTCGGCGCCACCCCATCCAGCCGACTCCCGGGAACGCTCCCGGGAGCGCAGACTCTGGGCCCGTTATGAACTGGGTCTTCTGCGCTTCTGCGAAACGGCATGGGGGAGACGGGGAGCGACGGCTGGCAGGAGGAGCTAGAGGAGGTGCGTTGGGAGCGAGTGGTCATGCGGCGGTACGTCCCGAAGCGATGCAGTGACCTTCCGAGTCTAACAGGACAGTTATCAGGATTCGATACCGGTCCCATCCGTCCAACAGGGTTTCACTGGTCCCACAGAATACTTATGACCTCTAAAACCTCGTAGCGATAGCGTGCTCACTCCGGACCTATACTGCCGATGGGATGACCTTATGGTGTCCTTCCAGCTGCACCTTAGCCCTCCCTCCCGGCCCCGCCTGTGCGACGGCCTCTTGTGCGATCGTCGCACCCCCGTCCGGGAGGTGTGTGCAGGGTGCAGGGTGCACGCGGCTGACGCCGGTCGGCGGCCGCCCCAGACGAGGTCGGACCTTGACCCTGGCGCGGCGCGGCACCGCGGCCGGACCTCATACCGATCGCCGGTGCGGCCCGCCGACCGGTGTCAATGCACCGGCGCAGGCGGCGCCGCATACGTCCCGGCGCCGGCGGCCGCCGAGACGGGGACAACTACTGGCGGCTGGGAGTGCCCGGTGCGGCGCGGGCGACGCTGGGACGGACACACTTGGGCTCGAGGAGAGAAACTGTGGGTCCGATTAGAAAATGAAGTTGTGACCATTTGTCGGTAAGAAAGGTTTGACCGCGAGATCGCAATGAAAAGTTGGCGGTATGGTTGGATTCATTAACTGTTCTCAGCTCGTCACCTGCGACTAGATTATTCACGTCTGGGAAGCTGGAGTCAAGAGGGTCCGTCTCCACGCGGCACGCCCGGCGCACTGAGCAGCGCCACCCATGATGTCGCTGCTCAAACTACTCAAACTGCGCAGCAATGCTGCCTTCTGCTATGATGCCGTCAGAAGTGGGAAATCCATAACCTGTCGTTAAGGCCTCCATACGGTGTCCTGTTATACAGTCGCCTCTATTCGCTGGGATTAAGTTGCCTTGTCATTGGATGCCAGTGAAACTACCGGGCTGGCAAATGGACACCAGCGCCGCCTCGAGCCCAGATCTAAACCTGACCAGAGGCCACTGTCCCCATCGGCCGAGTGACCAGAGCGTTCTCACGGGCCCAAGTTGTCTTACTTTAGTGCAATTGAAAAAGCGACGCATTCCTAACTTCTCCAAGAAAAAGCTGTAAAGTTTAGGCTCTGCCACGGCGGATAAGTTGCAGTTCTTCAGCCATCAACTACAAAAAGGTACGGAAATACAAGCATCTCTTGCAAACATATCAAACATGCCCAACCACGGCAACTTAGTACACACGTGGCAGACGGACGCCGTCTTTGTCGGCACAGGTGGATGCTGATGTGTTTATTAACGCCGTGGTTAAACATTTATTAATTCAAAAGAACTATTTAGTTTGAATGATCACCCTAAAAGCTATCATTTCATACCTTCTCGCGAGTTATTATGCCCCGCTCCAAGCTGAAAACCACTCCAGCCTCACCAGGACCAGAGAGCATGAGTACAGGGCGCATGAAACGTTGGTACAGATTGGTGACGTCCTGTCGGCTCTTCGGAGGGGCAACGCGGCGCACTGCGCAGCCGTGGCAACCGCGCGACGCGTCGCAGCGAAGCGTTGGTCGGGTGTGTTTGCATGTTGGCACACCTGACTAGCATATGTCAAGCCTATGCCGTGTTTGTGAAGTCACTAGTCATCCTCCATGTGACCTGATCAGGTCACCCATGCGCTCGTCCTCGAGGCTCTCAACGGTGAAAACTTGGAGGAACGGCGCTACTCTGCAAAGCTTTCTTAGCTCTGTGAGGACCAAGTATTCTTCTCCGACGGTTCCGAACGTGCAAACAGATTAGGTCGTCCACGTCATCGGTGCTCGTTGCAATTTTCGAGGCCATTTGAATGCCAGGTAACTACAAGTCTTATCTTGAGCACAGGCTACTTTCAAACTTGCCCCCGCGCGCTCTGTGACGAGCCAAAGAGACTGAGGTGCGTCAGGTGTACTATGAAGACCACGCAAGACCAAGTTCAGTCTAGTGAGAAGCTGTCTTCATAACCGTCTAAAGCATTTAAAACATAAGGCAACCGAAGCATTTCGCAACGCACTTATATCATTGTCGTATATGACGATCATGCAGGAAAGTTCGTCCAAGCTGAATCAGGGCAACTGGATGTCAAGGAATGGCATCAGAAATGGATGGTAATTACCTCTTATTACCTCTAAGAAGCTAATGGCGACATCTTTTATCTACACCAGATTAACCCTGCCGACACAAGTACAACTACGTCAGGATGTAAGGCAGGTTAAAAATAGCGTGGTCTACGTGGATCATATATGGGCCATCACCGTGTCCTTGAAATATTGTTCTTACCGGCATCAGGTGTCCAATTGGAAAAGATAATTTGCCCTTCGGCTTTTATTTCCCCCCCCCCCCCCCAGTCATGTACCGCGGAAAGTGCGGGGCCCAGCGGTACTTCAGAGTTCCCGCAACATCAAATAAATGTTCGCTTAATTCTTAGACAGTTAGACTCTAAGCCACAGACCGCTTCTTCGCGCAGCACCTATTTTTAAAAGTGCAACATTTAATATAAGGTTGCGGCTGCTGTCCCCGCCCCCCCCCCCCCCCGCCATCCCCGCTATGCATGAGGCGGAGTGTACCCGGTCGTTCCCCGCCAAGCCGGATTACGCGGGAGCAGACGGGAGCTGGGTGTGTGGGTGTGGAGCTCGTCTGCCAGACGTCGCCTGCGGGCCGCGACCGCCGCGTCCGCCCGCTGCCGTCCTGACGACCGCGGCGCTGTGTTTCAGACCCGGCGGCGGCCGAGTGCGGCCCGCGGCCCACCGTCGTGCTGGTACAGAAAGGCGAGAAGCGCCGCGTCAGCTTCTGGAGTGACGCCGCCACGCCGCGGCCGCCGCCGGAGCCGGAGCAGGAGCAGGAGGCGGCGGCCGGCGAACCGGGCCGGCCCCTGATCGTGACGCCCAGCAGACCGGGCCCGCCGCCGCCGCTGTACGACCAACAGCCGCACATTGTACTGCCCGACTCGCCGGAGCTGCTGCTGCCGGGGGACGGCGCAGAGGAGGGTCTGCTGCTGGGCGGCGGCAGCGAGGACTCACCGGCCGGCTCTCAACAGACGACGCTCGGAGCGGCGTGGCAGGGCAGCGCAGGACTGGAGGCTGGGTGGCTCCCAGACGGCATTGACATGGGATCAGGAGCGCACGGTCTTGACCAGCTGGAGACGGGAGACGGCGCTGAGGTCACCACCAGCCAGCACGCGGCGGCTGCGCTCGCCGACGGGGAACACGACATGGACGGCTCGGGAGACGCCGAGCCCAGCAACACGGTCATCTTCCCGGAGATCTCCTTTGATAGCGGCTCCAGCACGCTGCTAAGCCTGACCAGGCTGAGTGTCGATGGCTCGGGCGCTCCGACGCAGGACGGCTTGCCGCTGGGCAGCGGGTTCGGCCCTCTCAGCGGCGAGCCAGCGGCGCCAGAGCGTCAGGGGGACGTGGGCAGCGTGGTGCAACAGGTTCAGACACTGGTGCTCGACGACCACCAGGCGGCCGACGGTCTGGAGCGCGACGAGCTGCTGCCGCTGGTGCAAACGTCCGGCTCCATCCAGCAGCTGCTGTCGGCGCTACGGCCCGATGCTGGCGGCGGCGACCGGGAGGCCAGAGGCGGTGACCTGGTGACCAGCGGCGGCGACCTGGCGACCAGCGAAAGCGAGCGGCGCGCCGTGTTGGCAGAGCGACTGGCGGAACGTGTCGCCGGCAGTGGCTGGGGCCTGAAGGACGCGGAGGAGGCTGCCGCGGACTCGGCCGAGATCGAGGGATCCGGCTGGGGTGAAGCGGAACGGAAGGAGCAGGAGGCGGCCAAGGCGACCGGCCAGGACGTCGGCGTGGAGGAGCACAAGGCAAGGCCCCAGGATGCGGGGAAAGGAACCAGCCCGGCCACGAGGTACGGCGGAGGTGGCGGGGCGCACCGTCGCATCGGAGCCCATTTGCGCCCCTGGTATCGCATCGGAGGGAGCCTCCCAGCGCCACCTCCCGTGTGGGCCCCGTACTGGGACCACCAGCGGCCCCTCAGCTCACGCAGGCCCGGCGCGCGTCCGCGGCCCGGCCACGTGTACTTCCCAGGCCAGTTCGGGCGCGGCGGACGACTGCGGCCCGCCTTCGGCCGACGGAGCGCCACCTACCGGCCGTCGCGTGGAGACACGTTCCGAGCGGCCGCCCCGGCGGAGCGCGACTTGCTCGCGCCGGGTGAAGCTCCACCGCCCTGGCTGGGCCAGACCGACGCAGCGGAGGGCTTCAGGGAGCCCGACGACAGGCTATTCCGGTGAGAAATCGACCTCAAGGGGACGTCAAGGGATGTGAGAGCCGCAGTGTTGAAGCTCTCACGTTAGAAGAACGGCGATCCACGGCAATTTTTGCAATCAAGGGTGTATGCGGCGGGGGGGGGGGGCAACCGGACCACGCCTCACGCTCGAAATGGCCAGTCGGCAAAAATCGCACATTTCTTGAAGCTGAAGACAATCTAGGCAAACTTTGCTGAGGAAAGTTTGCTTCAAACTACTCCGTGGGCTACAGAGAAACAAAATCAGATGAGCTTTGAAAAGCAAGACGCGTTTTTTTAACACGCTCCTCAAGCCATGTTGTCCCTCACCAAGGCGGTGTTCTGAATCCATCCTTACTTGCAATGACATCTCAATTTTAAGCTGAGGACAACCCCTTTGGTGACTACACTTGGAACTAGGACCTCCTAGCGCAATACGGGCGCCATAAGGAACCGTTCCAAATTGTTTGCCATGCCAATTTACAAACAACTGTCCGAGGAGAAACACAGCAGGACAACGACACGGCGTCTGAGCTCTTCCGCGCGCGCCCTCAGATTCCGACCGTCGCTGCTGTGGCCCGAACAGCCGGAGCTGAGCTACCAGCGACTGCAGCCGAGGAGCGTACGGGACCCGAGGTCGGCCCAGACCGACTGCCAGTGGCAGATTCAGGTGAGCAGTCTGCCGACCGTCGGTGCCAGATCCAGGTGAACAGTCTTTCGACCGTCGGTGTCAGATCCAGGTGAACAGTCTTTCGACAGTCTGTGGCAGATTCAGGTGAGCAGCCTCCCGACTGTCGGTGTCAGATCCAGGTGAACAGTCTTTCGACTGTCTGTGGCAGATTCAGGTGAACAGTCTTCTGACCGTCGGTGTCAGATCCAGGTGAACAGTCTTTCGACTGTCTGTGGCAGATTCAGTTGAGCAGTCTTCCGACAGTCGGTGCCAGATCCAGGTGAACAGTCTTTCGACTGTCTGTGGTGAATCCAGGTGAGCAGTCTCTCGACTGTCGGTGTCAGATCCAGGTGAACAGTCTTTCGACTGTCTGTGGCAGATTCAGTCATGCAGTCTTCCGACAGTCGGTGCCAGATCCAGGTGAACAGTCTTTCGACTGTCTGTGACGGATCCAGGTGAGCAGTCTCTCGACCGTCGGTGTCAGATCCAGGTGAACAGTCTTTCGACTGTCTGTGGTGAATCCAGGTGAGCAGTCTCTCGACTGTCGGTATTGACTTGAGGTGGGAATTCCCAGACTGTCGCATGTGAATTTAGGTAGTCACACCTCGGCTATCTGTGGTAGATTGTAGACCCATCTCTCGTGACTGTCAGCGCCAGTTTCAGACGATGCTTCAGCTGTCGGGTGTATGCGGTTGTAACGTGGCCGAGTCCCATATCAGGTGTACGACGTGGTAGTATTCTCTACAAACGTGCGCTCTACAAATGCCACGTAGCCTTTCCATGGCAGCCGTAGGTGTGCACGTATGATCCCGTGCAGATCTGCGATAACACCGCACCATGCCGCATGCGCGAATGTCCGAGCGCGATCTCATGAACAGAGCCGTAAAATATGGCACGACTGTTTCCACGTAAGTGCGTCACTGCCGTGTCGCGCCCGCCCGCTCCCACCGCCAGCAGCGGACGCCGTGTGATACTACGCCCGTAACGGCTGGCGGCGCCGGCAGACGGAGCCGCACCTGTACCTACTGGTGACACTGCACAACCTGAGCGCCCCACTGACCAGCGACTGCGCGGACGCCTACATCGAGGTGGAGCGCGAGAACGACGGCTTCGAGGCGCGCTGGTGCGGCAACAGGGTCAGACAGGTCAGGGCGGGGACTCACGCGGACCAGAGCCCGGCCAGGCAGGTCAAAGGGGGGGGGGGGGGGCGGACCAGAGCCTGGTCAGGCAGGTCAGAGCGGGGCGGACCGGAGCCCGGTAAGACAGGTCAGAGCGGGGCGGACCAGAGCCTGGTCAGGCAGGTCAGAGCGGGGCGGACCAGAGCCCGGTAAGACAGGTCAGAGCGGGGCGGACCAGAGCCCGGTAAGACAGGTCAGAGCGGGGCTTCAGGCGAACTAGAGCCCGGTAAGACAGGTCAGAGCGGGGCTCCGGGCGGACCAGAGCCCGGTAAGACAGGTCAGAGCGGGGCTTCAGGCGAACTAGAGCCCGGTAAGACAGGTCAGAGCGGGGCTTCAGGCGAACCAGAGCCCGGTAAGACAGGTCAGAGCGGGGCTCCAGGCAAACTAGAGCCCGGTAAGACAGGTCAGAGCGGGGCTCCAGGCGAACTAGAGCCCGGTAAGACAGGTCAGAGCGGGGCTCCAGGCGAACCAGAGCCCGGTAAGACAGGTCAGAGCGGGGCTTCAGGCGAACCAGAGCCCGGTAAGACAGGTCAGAGCGGGGCTCCAGGCGAACTAGAGCCCGGTAAGACAGGTCAGAGCGGGGCTTCAGGGGGATCAGAGTCCGGTCAGACAGGTCAGAGCGGGGCTTCAGGCGAACTAGAGCCCGGTAAGACAGGTCAGAGCGGGGCTTCAGGCGAACCAGAGCCCGATAAGACAGGTCAGAGCGGGGCTCCAGGCGAACTAGAGCCCGGTAAGACAGGTCAGAGCGGGGCTCCAGGCGAACCAGAGCCCGGTAAGACAGGTCAGAACGGGGCTCCAGGCGAACTAGAGCCCGGTAAGACAGGTCAGAGCGGGGCTTCAGGGGGATCAGAGTCCGGTCAGACAGGTCAGAACGGGGCTTCAGGGGGATCAGAGTCCGGTCAGACAGGTCAGAGCGGGACTTCAGGCGAACTAGAGCCCGGTAAGACAGGTCAGAGCGGGGCTCCAGGCGAACCAGAGCCCGGTAAGACAGGTCAGAGCGGGGCTTCAGGGGGATCAGAGTCCGGTCAGACAGGTCAGAACGGGCCTGCAGGCGGACCAGAGTCCGGTGAGGCAGGTCGGAGCAGGGCTTCAGGCAGGTCAGGGCTGGGGTTCAGACGCGTCGAGACCCGGTTTAGCAGGTCAGCACGAGGATCCAGAAAGGTCAGAGCTGGTTCAGCGTGGGCCAGTGTGGATCGCTAGTGCAGCTGAGTAGATGCTGTAACAGTGTGATAACGGCCACCAATTTGCATAAGCAAAATAAGCGCTAACAATCTACAGCTTGGTTATGCTTCCGTTCCCAATTGTCAGTAGGTTCATACGAATTTGACATGGACTTGTACTGAACCATCATGTCCGCATGTGAAGCTACACCGAGGTCGGGCGTGAGTCACCCCCTCGGCCCGCTCGTGACGTCACGGCGCCCTCTGACGGCGGCCAACCTTCCAGAGCGGCACGCGGCCGCACCTGGTGTTCGCGCGCGGCGAGGTACGCATCGCCGTGCACAGCGACGGCGCCGCGCAGCCCGGCAGCCTGCCCACCGGGTTCGATGCCGAGGTGGAAGGTAGGACGAGGTGGCAGCGCGGGCGCGCACAGGGCGGGAACGCAGCCTCCGTGGGGCACGGCCGCAACTCTGGCGCCGACGACGGAAGCGGGGAGCGGTTTTAGCAGCGCTCACAGGCATGGACGCCGGACGCCAGGCTCCCAAACATGGGGACCTTCACGCAACTGTCAGAATGGGAAGATAATTGACTTTCACCTCAGCCCCGCCCCACCCCACGCAGATGCCGTACCCCTAGGAAGATGTTAAGGAAACGAGCCGTTGCTGTTAGAGCAGGAGTAAGCGAGCAACAGCAGCAAAGACAGGTTTATCGTGATCATCATTGCCATTCATTGCACCTGCTGTAGGACAAAATATAATGAAAGAATATGCAACCATAAACACCCACACCACACATCCAATATAAATGGATGCTTCACCAGTTCACACAGAGGTGTACTAGTTTTCTAGCTTCTGGGCCGGTTCTCGTCAGGAGCCATCGAGGTGACTCGTTCACACCACACTGGGGCCGCACTGGAGCACCAGCATCAGAGCTCATGGAATAGGTTACCAGCAAACAGGGCTAGAATTGGAGGCTGTAAGCTAGAAATTGTCGAGAAAAGAAAACAACGCTTACATCTTGGGCGTCCAATATAAACTAACAAAAATAGGTGGTGCCACGAGCATCACACGCATCTGTGCGACGATGGGCTATTTTTGGCTCCTTAGAATGTTTTTGTTGTGATTTGCCAAGGCTGCGAGTTCTTTTGTGCCTTGCAACACCACCGACTCACTTAAATGCAACTGCACCTAATTAAGTTAAATAGCATGCATTTCAAGGCTTATGACCAAAACTTATGACGAGATTGCTGCCGGTCGGGGTGTGACCTCTGTGACCTGTCACAGTGATCTGACTGCTGAGCGGCTGCCGGTCGGGGTGTGACCTCGACGCGACCTGTTGCAGTGACCTGACCGCTGAGCGGCTGCCGGTCGGGGTGTGACCTCGACGCGACCTGTTGCAGTGACCTGACTGCTGAGCGACTGCCGGTCGGGGTGTGACCTCGGCGTGACCTGTTGCAGTGATTGACCTGCTAGACGCGCGCCAGTACGCCTCGTTCCGGCGCTCGGGCCTCAACTTCCGGCATCTGATCCACGAGCCGGTGCTGCCCCCCTCCTAGGCGGCTGACGGCACCCGGCCGGCCTCTCACCGGACCACAGCGGCGGCACCACAGACGACGGTCGGACGCCCGGCCGGCTGGGACGGCACCGGCGTCCCGTCCCCCCGCATGGGCATTATCGCACACGTGTTCAAGGCTTGTTGGATAACCAATCTCGCACTGGAGGGAATACAGAATGATCTGAACCCTTGGTTACGCGTACTGTGGAAAAATTCTCCACGCAAACCGAAGGCTGCAATGTCTGTCATTTCACCGCAAGAACATAATATTCACCTGCACACAGTTGCAGTCAGCATGGTAATGAGAAATCGATGCATCTCAAGATACAGCAAACTAAGGCATGCTAATCAATATATTTCTCAATAATCATTTCCAATGACAGGTGCGCTATGCATATGGTAGTTTTCAGTTATATGCTGAAACTGTTCTCAAAAATGTCGCGTGTTGAATGTTTTTAATTAGCAACGTCAGCCGAAGCCAACTCCGCACGACGGAAAAGGTTTGACTCAGTAAAACAGTGCCACTCAACGTGACATACATGTGTCACCTTGTAAGTATTGTGATCCGGCTCACCCAGTTCCACTCGTGGGAAGGATGGAAATTAAGCTGTTCTTCTCGGACAGCAACGGTACTTTGAACTGGTGTCTTGACGCCCTAACACGACCTGGTCGCATTCAAGCACTCACACGCACATAAGGCAGCTTCAGCGGCGGGATGAATAGAAAACGCGTGCATCAAGTTTGGCAGGAGACCGCCGCACGCAAGGCCACGTCAACAGCCCTCCTGGTCCCATAGCGCTCTGGCCTCCCCGCGCCGGCCTACGGCTCCAAACTGAACACCCACGACTCCGGCCTCCCCTGGATTGCGGACTCCGCCTCGGACGCCTCGGGTGAGTCCAGGTCCGGCTCGCAGGCGTCGGCGTCGGGCCATGTCGCAGCACGGCGCCGCAGCCGGGAGCGGGAGAGAGTGCGGCGGCGGCGGGGAGAGGCGGGGACCGGGCCGCCTACCAGCCAGGAGCCGTGTTCGCCAGTCGCCGCATCCGCCTGCAGAAAGCGAGACGAGATCAGTCCCAGCCGCTGACTGACGCCGCAACTGGACATAGAGCGGCCCGCCAGAACACCCGCGCCGGGGCGTGCCACACAGAACCCCAGACGGCCAGCTCGACGACGGGGGGAGCGCTTGGTAACATGACATGCGTCCACAGAGCATCCCCGCACATCCGTCCGATCGGCGCCCGCTGGGCAAATGCTGCCGCCCTGGTCCGCTCGCCTGGAGACCATGTCAAGACCGTGACAACCTGACACCTCTGTCCCGCCTCACCGACCTGGTGTTCCTGCCCAGGTCTCGTCGGACCTGAACTTCGCGGCCCCAACTGACCTGGCGGTTCTGTCCCGGCTCCCAGAGACCTGGCGTCCGTGGCCCCCACTGACCTGGTGTTCCTGTCCTGGTCGCGGATCTTCTTCTCCATCTCGGCGTCGGTGAGCGACTCGAGGAACGGCCCCCAGTTGTCGGCCTCCGGCTGTTGCCGGAACGGCCGCTCGATCGTCGTCAGACTGTGCTCGCTGAAAGCGAACTTCTGGTGCCAGCTGATCTGGCCGCGGATGCTGCAGTGGTGCAGACGCCGCACGGGCACGGGTGTCAGTTAGTGTCATTGTCAGGATCAGTCATTGTCAGAAGAGGGTCAGTTTAGGGCGCAATACCTCATACACCAACTGGCCGACCGCGAAGGCGGAGGTTAGCTGGAACCGGTCAAGTAAAACCTTATGTTTGAGAGCTAGATACCAAAACAAAGATGTTTTACAGAACGTTGCCACGCCAAACTTCACCCCAAGGAACGAAAAGAAAGACATACTTTAATTATTTCCTTAGATGCATGCACGAGTCACGTGGGCTACCAACATAAAACAAAATGGTGGTAATATACCGTATCAACCAAGCCTCCAGTGCCCTCTAAGCTCTGTAAACCTCGTAGGTAAGCAAGAAAGAATATGTTCAAATCCCTTCAAGTTGTAAGCCTGACGAAGGCTACATTGCGATGAGCGAATTGGGCGGCTTTAAAAAAAAACATGCATACAACCTTAAGCAAAAACACGAGACAGAAATTCCCACAGCTCAGCTTGAGCGAGCACACAAAAAATCCACACAAGACATGCCCCCATCTGAGACAGTGCAAACGAGTCACTGTACCACAGCGGCGCTACACACTCAGCGCGTCTCACCTGTACGCGATGGCCGTGACGAACTCGCCGCCCAGGCCGAGCTCGGCGCACAGCTTCTGCGCGAACGCCTCGGGACTGTTGCTCGGGTCAGACACGTCCCACTCGAACCGGTCCACCAGAGAGATGTTGCCCACGTGGATGTTGAGCTGCGGCGGCGGACAGGGCGTCACGGGCTGCTCACGGGTGAGGTGGTGGGGACGGACCGCCCGGTGGCCACCCCTGCACCCCTGGTCAAGAGATGGTCAGCCCTGCACCTCTGGTCAAGAGATGGCCAGCCCTGCACCCCTGGTCAAGAGATGGCCAGCCCTGCACCCCTGGTCAAGGGATGGCCAGCCCTGCATCCCTGGTCAATAGATGGTCAGCACTGCACCTCTGGTCAGGAGATGGCCAGCCCTGCACCTCTGGTCAGGAGATGGCCAGCCCTGCACCTCCGGTCAAGAAATGGCCAGCCCTGCACCCCTGGTCAAGAGATGGCCAGCCCTGCACCTCTGGTCGGGAGATGGCCAGCCCTGCACCTCTGGTCAAGACATGGCCAGCCCTGCACCTCTGGTCAAGAGATGGCCAGCCCTGCACCTCTGGTCAAGAGATGGCCAGCCCTGCACCCCTGGTCAAGAGATGGCCAGCCCTGCACCCCTGGTCAAGAGATCTATGTCGCGCTTCACGACAAACAGTTCGCTGCATCGGTGCGCCAAGAGGTTCGGATCACTTCAAATACCACAAAGGAGGCAGACCACGTGCGAGAAAAACCTGAAGCGGACCATATGGACATCAGCATCCAAGGATCCTGTGCCTACATGCCTACATGCCGAAGTGCCTACATCGACAAAATGGCGGAATGATCGCATAAAACGTGTGATCTCTAGTTCCCACACAGCATACTCTGTGTCGGGTGATGCACCGCGGCACCTGCAGCGGCAAGCGTGTGACTTCTCCGCCGCGGTATATGAGGAAAAGTCGTGCGCCACAACATCAACGTGCAAAATCACGCGCACGAAATGGGCGCTGATCTGTTTCTTGTTGCAATAGGTCGAAGACGACACACGTGATTTTAACTGGTTGCTGAGGAGGACGGTCAAAATGAGGAATAATGAATGCGTTCTGGAACTTTAAAACATCCCCTTTAAAATGCGCCAGATTAATGATAACACGCTATTTATTAAGCTTGTGGCACGAACGGATACACGGGAAAACGTGGCGGTGATGCCCGGTCACGCCCCACCACCCGGTCAAAACCACGCACACCGCGGAGAAGGCTACTTGTGAACAAGCCCTGACCACCGATCCGGCGGCGCGGACCGCCCCGGCGTCCACACCTCGCCTGACCTCTGGGGGCCGGGCGGCGGCGGAGCAGCGGCGGCGCAGGGACGCCCACCTTGATGATGACCCGCTGGTCGGTGGTGTCGTGGTAGCCGACGTCGGCCGGGCACGTGTCCAGCTGCTGGCGGATGCTCTGCGCCACGGCCGGCACGAACGACAGCGGGTTCAGGTCCAGGTCGTCGCACAGGACCTCGGCGAACTGCTCCGGTGTGATGAGCGTCTCTGCAGGCGCGCCGAGGCATGGAGACGGGACGGAGGACGGGCAGGGTGACGGGCAGGCACCGCACGGCAGATCAGTCGGCACGAGGACTCGCGACAACGCAAGAAACACGGACACACCGGCCGGGAGACAACCGAGACGCAACGAGACGAACGTATTTGCTATAACGGATAGTTTTTGCGAGGAAGACACCGAGACGTATGCTACCGGGATGTACAGCACACTTGCATTACGTATGACAGGTTGGAGATTGGATATCGACACCCCATGCGCGCTTCATCCCAAACTTTTGTGACTTTAACGCACACAGTATCTCGCAAACTGCAGCTGCTTCGTCTTTGTCCCTCGCCCACGCAACAGTAGACGGAGTCGCCGACAGGCCGAGCTCGTACCGTTTTTGTTCCACGTGAACATGTCGCGCAGCTTCTGGCCGTCCACCTCCATGTCGAGTCGGATCGGCACCAGCTGCTCCTCCTGCATGGCGTTGTCGTGGAACGTCTCCGGATCCGTGTCGTCGAAACTGCTCGACGCGGACGACACGCGTGACCCGGACATTCACGTATGGCTGTCGTCCGTGCTGGTATTCGTTTTACTGGCAAATGCCCCGCGCTAGAAGAGCGCTGTAGTCCGGCGATTGAACATACCACTGGCATGACCTAATTCATATCCACGCATTCATACGCTGACAACAGTGTCTGTAATACCTCATCTGAGTGGAGGACCGAATTCTCCCATCATCACGGCAGGCCACAATCCATCAACGCCAACCGGGAGTCGTGCACCGCCCCAGCGGCAGCGGCGTTCACTCACCACAGCGGGAAGGTGCGCACACGCTTGGTGACCACGCGGTTGCGGTTGATGGGGGTGGACTGCGGCACGGGGTCCATGTGTGAACTGTTGGGCAGAGTCGGCACGTGCACCGCGCTCTTCCTCGGCGGCTTGATCTCCCTGCGGCGGTACGGCGCGGCCATCAGCGGCGGAGGCCGACACCGGCGCCGGTCAGAGGCGGCCGGGCGGTCAGAGGGTCCACCCGGTCACTGTCCGTCGGCTTTGAGGCCCGCCGCTACGCCGCTCGCGGCCACGCCCTCCGAGACGGCTTACACACTGCTGTCACAGATCTGGTGGCTTCTAGCTCCCAGATATCCCTGGATCGTCATACTCACAAACGACGTTTCGGGGATTAAGACGGGTCCGAAGGTAACCGGACCCTGCCCGGACAGTATACGGTAGAGCTGACGAATTCCAGATGAACTCTCTAGAGGCAGCGTTCAACACACACGAACCACACGCTGGACAAGCCGTCTGGAGGCGTGGCTGACTCACTTGGGCGTGGCCACAACCTCGCTGGGCAGTACGCTCTGCAGGCCAGAGGAGCGGTACTGGTCGTCTTTGCCCGATATGAGGTTCT